TTGATGGGCTATTTTGGCAATTTTGTTACTAATAATGCTCTGTTACTGAGGAAAGTGGGAAAATAGGAGCATCATCTGTTTCCAAGTCAATATGACAACAGGTTGGGGTTTTTTTCCCCTTTGCTTTAAATTAAACTTAATTGCTAAGAAGTGTACCTCTCCTGGTACTTACAGCATCTATGGCATAAGTCAAAAATAAAGGTGCAGAGAAGAAGAGATAAAGTAATGTTTAGGAGACCTTCTGTTGCTCGCCTTTGAATTGCACCTTCTCTAGCACTGAACAATCTGTGTTTAAATTAAATGCTGTGTTTAATAAAGCGGTAGTGTTTGCTTGGGTTTGAAAGCTTACAGAATGGAGAATATATTCTTTTGTTCCTGCTCTAATCTGAAGGCCTGTATGAGCAAAGAAAATGATTTGCCAAAGGGGAAGAAGCAAATAAAGGAGAAATTGTTTCCTTTTCTCACCAAGACACTACTGTGGTGGTGAGAAGCTACAGTAAATTCAGCTGACATAACCTAGCCAAAGTTTGCTGGTCTGTGAATTGAAAAAAAGTTAATATAGGTCAAGCATGCTTTCTAAACATCTTCAAACACAAAGAGAGGAGGTGGGAAAAGACCTTGTGTGTAGGCACCCCAGGGCCAAAGAGCAAGATCACAAGTACCTTGTTTTTCACAAGCACCTAGTATCCCCAGCTCAGGTTAAGCCTGGAAAATATAAGCACCTGTTAATAAGCATTTGCAGTGCTTCCCTCTCCTCTCTGCTTCCCCCTCCAGTCTAATTAGCCTGTAAACAAAGATGGCAAAAGAAAATGGAAGTAAAGAGGTGATACTTTTTTGCCCAAAGCCACACGATAGATTTGTGGCTAAGCAAGGAAGAAAATGCAGCTCTCTTGCATCCCAGGATTTTGCTTTTTTTATAGGACTGTGTTGCTGCTTAGTGTCAAGAGTTGATGCTGTCAGGATAAAGGACCAAAATGGATTAATATTTTGCTTGTCAAGACAAGATGACAAATGGGTGTTTTGGGCCTTCCTTTTTTTTTAGCATGAAATAAAATTTGAAAATACTTTATCATTACACTACAGCATAGACAAAAGGAACAGTGTGTATTGCTCTGTCTTAACCTGACTGTAAGCAAGGAAGCTGAGAATTCTTGAATTTTAGAGAAGTGAGTGTATTTAACAATTTTAAAAAGCCTAGAAACTGCTTTGATTCCATGCAAAAGTGTATGAAAAGCACTTCTTGCTGTAGCAGAACTGATGGAAGTCAAACTCCCTTCTGAACATTGAAAAGGTAGAATTGAAAAAAAGCAATATTAAATTCATACAGTAATTTAGGGGATAGCAATAAACCCCTGAAACTAGGATGATCATCTATTTTGTGCTTTCACTTCCAACCAATTAAATAACATCTGTGCCCCTTAGTTTATGCCATGCTAATGGTCCATGGGGTGATAGAAAAAAGCACCACCTAAAGAAAACGAGAAGGATAATAGTGCTTTTGTGGTCACATCCTTTCCTGTTTCTCTTCTCTCTGGGCATCACTTCCCCCACACCATCAAGGAGAAAGCAGAAAATGTGCTGTATAGCGTTTGGGTTTAGTTATCTCCAAGGTGATTTCCTAATAGGATAAATTTCGTTTCCTTGCTTCAAAACTTCCCATGGATAACTTTTCAACTATAATCAGATGCTGTGCTTTTTCCTAAGCTCTTATTGGCACTTGAGATCAGCCAGCAATCGTTCACTGTCACAGATTTTGGCAGTATTGCAAGTGGTATTATCATAACTGAATACTGGTTCCTTCCTTTAAAATCCCTCTTGATTGCTCACCAGGGTCTAACTCCAGAAAACTTTGCCAGCAGTTCCTAAGTGATTTTCACTTATGAGAGACTTAAGTCTTAAAAAAAAATGAGTGTTTTGCTGTGATGGCGAGGAAGCTTAGTAACCTGTTGCTAAGTTTGTGATGGCTTAGTTGTTAATCTAGTGTGGAGTCCAGTAGACTGAATAATTGATGCTTTTAAAAATAAATTCTAGCCTTGTTTGTGTTGGGAAAACTTTGATATAGCCAAGGCTTCAGGAAAGTTATTCTGTTTAGTATCTATCTTTAGTACAGCTATTCAGAGTTAAGAATCCTCTGTTGCTGTATTTCGCTAAGATTTGAAGCTATCAGATAATAGTTTTTATAATCTTTATTTAAATGGCAAAGGTAGTCTTCAGATGTGTGGAGGGAGGGTTGGGCTTCCACCTCCCATGGCAATTCAGTTGGGGTTTGGTGCCCTTTGGGGTCTCCCCTGCAGTGCTTTTGAGATTTTGCAGTGACACTTCCATAGCAGTGGGTAGGTGCAACTTAGAGGGGAAAAAAATCTGGGAGGATTGGTCTCTTTGTAGTCAAATGAGTGTTCAGGTTTTATCTGACTGTGATGAAAGGCCAGAGCACCAGATGCAAGATGTGTATTGGGTCTGCTGCTAACAAAAATGAGTGGAAACTCCCCTTAGTTTCAGTGAGTATTGATCAGATAATTTATAAAGTGGTATTTGAAGTCCTAGAATAAACCTTCAGGACTGTTAATGAAAAATCAGATACATTTCTGTGCTGTATTTATTTACTGATAAGGCAGGCTATCTGGTCCAGTGTGTCTGAAGTGTTCATTCAGCGACTTGGTTTGGGGTCGGCTGGTAACTTGGCTTCTTGTGGTGTTAATATGGTACCGCTACACAGTTCTGGAGAGGGAGTCCAGCTGGTAAACCAGCTGTTGGACTTGGATAAGTTACTGCAGGCCACCTTGTAGCAGCTGGTGTTAACAAGGAAGACTGTAAGTCCTAACTCTAATGGAAATGTGCTTAAAAAGGGAGCAGAATAAGCTCACCTTTTTCTGGAGTTCTGTGAACTGTCCTTTCAGTTCTGTGTTACGCCTCAAAACCAGACAGACCTCACAGCTGTTGCATCGGCTTCCAAAAGCAAAGTTAATTGTATGGAAAACTCTTTTAACAATAGAGACAAAATTTTTGTAAGGAGTTGAGCTGAGACCAGATAGTTTGACTGTGGATCTAGACTGGTGATTTTTTGTTCCCTAGGCAACTTGTAAAAAATGATTCAAAGATGTCACCTTCAGAAACACATTGTGCAGGTCTAACATGCTGTGCTCAAGTCGGGGTTATACAGATCTGCCAGAGCAGCATTATGTCAGTGTTGAAGAACTCTGAAAACTCTGTACCTGAGCATCTTTTTCCAGGTACTTGTCCATAAAGTCCCCGCTGTAAGTATCTGTATGCCTGTACAGGTGGTCGGATGTGGATTCTACACTGTTGCAATGTCTATAATATTCTGATGACGATTTCTCTTGTTGCCTATGTGATAGTAAGAGGTGGATCTCACTCGTTGTTTTCAAACTCTTACTGGATTAATCTAGTCAGGGCTGCAGAGATGTAGTCATGGTCTTGGTCATCTGGGTGGTTCTTTTGGGTGGGCTTCACCCCAGGACAAGCATACTGGAAATCATATTGTGAGTTCCTACTGTCTGACTTTGTTTACAGATTGTCTTTTAACATTGTTGAAGATTTGGGTTGTTTTCTCCCTTATTCTTCTGGAGTGTCTGTTCTAGGTTTGCTTTAGACTTAATCTTCTTTTTATTTTTTTGGCTTTAATCACAAGTGATCACAGTAACAAAACTTGCTTGGATCTCCCAAATGGAACTTTTGTTTCAGAACTTTGGGTTAGGATGATGGGCTGCTTTGCTCCCTGCCTTATTTTTGTTGTGGTAGTGAAAAGTGCAATTCCAGAGACCCTTCCCAAAGAACTATTTTTTTACTCTACTAGTATTTCTATGTTTTGGGGGGAGTTTTATCACTTTCTTATTGACATATGCTGCTTGAGACCACAATATGAATTTCAGGTCCTAAGCAGTCTTCTGCACTAGAGCTATTCAACTCAGTTGCTACTCTGGCTTCTTATTCGTGTCAATGGTCAAGACGCAAAGCTTGGGGGTTGAAAAGGGAGGAGGAACTGTGTCCTGTAAAGTACAATGCAGTTTGTATTGCGACTTACCTGGGAACTTCTTTGTAACTATACTTTTGGCTTTGGTACCCATGAGTAATAGTGTTGTCCTGAGTTTAAGGCATAAAAAATGTATGAAGTCTTCTCCCATCAAGCAGTCTTTTCTGTCCTGTCTTTTCTCCCTTTTGATCATCTGATTGTCTGTTTCTGTCTTATAAAAGGCAATTCTTCCATAATTCAATGTTATTCTGACCTGCAGACTGTTTGAGTGCTGTATTTTCCCATTATATATGCTGCATTTATATGGTTAATGTTTAGCCCTGCAGCGATGTTGCTATACAGTATCAGTGAAGTATTTTGAGTTTTAGAACAAAAAGCAGCAGTTTTGCTGGTTTGTTAAAACTGCTACAGCCTAAGTCTTCCAATAAAACTGCATTATGTTTCTATGTCAGAGGTGACATAGTTTTAAGGATCTTACTTAAGATGGGAGCAAGTCAATAGTTTAGGTTGTCATGGCAACACAAATTAGCTGTTACCAAAGGTGGAGTACTAATACTTGTATGTTGAGCAGCAGTTAGTTTGGTTTGGTTTCTTTTTTCCCTAGCCTTCTGACTGAAACCACCTCAACACCAGGTACTGTAGGTGTGACTGGTCTACTTTGATGTATTTTTAAAACCTGCTACTTCTTCCTATCCTCATTACTCTGTTACTCAGGTTTTTACTCCCAATACTGAGAAAACTTCGTAACTGGCAATGGTGGATAGTATCTGCCATTTTGGCCTAATGCTTTTGCCAATTTGTTGATGTATTTGGATGGTATCCGTGAGGAAAGCTTTGGATGATCTTTGGAAGTCTTGCAGTGGTTTATTTTTTGAAGAGCTAATGCTGAATACCTTTCTCAAGTCAGCTGAAAACTCAAAAGCTATATGGAAGCTTAGCGAAAGTAGTGTCGTATTGCCACCGATACCTTGATGCTAAAACTGTTCCTTTTTTGTTTGTGTTTGCACAGAAACTGTGTGAAGGAATTCTGAACATCCTTGAAAAAGACACAAAAACTTCATGTCAAGTTGCCTGCTTGGAGGCCCTCCGGATTCTCTCCAGGGACAAGAAGGTTTTAGTGCCTGTAACCACAAAAAGGAACATGCAAATCCTTATGAGGCTAGCAAAGCTGGACACTGTGGAAGATCCTTTGGAGAGAGTCTCTGAATTTCCTGTTATAGTAGAAGCTTTAAAATGCCTCTGTAACATAATTTTTAATAGTGCTGTTGCACAGAAGCTCAGTTTGGAACTGAATCTTGCAGCTATGCTCTGCAATCTTCTGGAAAAATGTAAGGACCAACAGTTCGTTGATGACATTAAATGCTTTGATTTGCGTCTCCTCTTCCTCTTGTCACTTCTGCACACAGATATCAGATCACAGTTGCGTCAGGAACTACAAGGGGTGCAAGTTTTGACTCAGGCTTTGGAAAGTTCCCTGAGTGTAAGATGGACAGAAGAATATAAAGCAGCGGAAGATCGTGACAGGCCTCCTCTGTCTTTGCAAGAGACAGATTGTGCCATTGAGGCACTAAAAGCTCTTTTTAATGTAACACTTGACAGTTGGAATGTCCACAGCGAGGTAAGGCTTAGCTGAAGTGTCCTTTAAAATGGTTTTGTTTAGCCTGCTGTTTACTGATAATCAGCTGGCTAGGAAAAGCTTTTTAATGTAAGTGTATCAGATAGCTGCATCTCTGGAAATTGTGGACTGTAGCAATAGGGTGATAATTAGAGCTGGGAAGGCTCCCTAGTTTTCTTCTGGGTTTTTTTGGGCATGATGATAAACACATCAACTCTGATTTTTAACAAATAACTGAAGAAGGATTAGCACTGTTTTTAATATCTTTATCTCACGTCCTCCTAACACCAACTCTGGACATAAACTTCATCTTTTAAGATGAGGTCAAGTATGAGAACCAAATGCACTTTCATTGTTACATCTTATTCATGAGATTTATCTTGGCTTTTTCATTATATCATCAGATCTACTTTTTTGTTCTTGGACAGGTACACTTCCTATGTGTTGTATCCCTAAATTCTGAACAGAAATGATACGGATAACTTTTTTTGCTGAATAAACTAAGTCTGTGCTATAGTAATAAAATTATATAGGGAATCCTTCTTTTTAGTTCCCATCATACTGTCTCTAGTGTTGTGAACTTTTCACTGGTCATTGTAAATATGCAGCATATAAAGCTAAGCAGAAATTTACAGTAATTAAAATAAACACATAATTGTTCTCTTCACTGCATTGGATGTAACAGCATATAAGACATTAATCCTAACAGTGAGGAATGTAAAACTTGAGAAAAGTCTAAAGTTTCTTCTTTGCTTTAATGTGTCAAGGGTACCCTGAATAAGAAATCCTGAAATTTAAGATGGGGGGAGGGTCAGAGAAGCTAATACTTCGAATTTCAAGGCAACATAAAGAAATTGATAGACTTTTCTCTTGTTTATATTCCTCACTTAGACTTTTATTAAAAATATCTTTAACTTTGTCAGAGAAAGTTCTTTGTAGAGGCAAGGGATTGTTTTGGAGGGAGAAATGAGTGGAGAAAAATTACCCAAATTCAATCACGTAACGCACCTATATGAATGTTTGCTTGTCCAGAGTTTGGGAAGTATTGTCTTTGTGATTAAGTTCTTCTGTGAGGAGGAACTAATGTCAGGTGTTAAGTTGGAAAATGAAGCTGTGTTACATGTGCACTTCATAAGAAGTAAGCTCTTGAAATCCGGATCTTGAAGTTGGTATAATCTTACAAAATACTGGGAATCCTGAGACATGAGAAACCAAGTTTACTGCAGGAAGGCAGGTGGGAGGTGGCACAAAATTGTGGCGTTACCTGATGAAGTTTCATGTGGCCACTGTCTGAATGAAGAGCCCAAGCATGCGGCTCTCAGGAAATTTTCCTTTTTCTTATTTATAATGAGAGTTTAAGACATTCTGGCGCAGGAGAAGCTTCTTTTATGTTTTGAGACAAAGTTATATAGAAGTCTTTACTAAAAGTTCCTAAAAACAAGAGGAACCTTTAAATTAAGTCATGCTTCAGTAATGGTTAGCCAGATACGTTGGGTGTCATTCTGCTTAGCAAGTCTCCCTGTGGAAATACTAATGATCTCTAAGAAGAGTAAACAGGATGTCAATTAAGTGAGCTGAAGATGCAGAATCTGAAGGGATTACAAACAGTAGACAGGATGGAAAATAAAAAGAGAGCAGAGAGGTTTAGGGGTGTGGGTAGAAAACTAAGATCCATCCCAAGAGGGAGAGAACCATTTGAACCACCAGTATTTAATGACTGGAGATGGTTTCAAAATAGCAGAGCTAGACAAGAGCCACAGGTGGTACAGTTGGCAACTTTGGATGCTGTTGTTACAAAAGATGCATTGGGGTGCTTTGTGCTGGGTCAAACATGCCACAACATATGATGGATGCCAAGAAGAGCTAATGAAAAAGGAAGAGGACAATGATAGACACAGTTAAATGATTGCAGTTACTGATGTACTTTTGTGTGGTGCTGTGTGGTGGGCGACTGGAAGGGGGAATCACTTGGAGAGAGCAAAAGTAGGGCAAATAAGGGTGCTGAGAGTAGAGAAGTTATTAATGAAATGGAGAAAAAGTATCAAGGGAACAGAAGGAAGAAAATTAGATAAAGAAAGACATTGGGTGGGGAAATGAAACCGTTGGCCCAAAAGGTCTGAATGAGGAGGAGGCAAGTGAAATGAAGAACATATGTAATCTAAATGGGTGAATAGATGTCCATGTGTAAATACAGGAAGAAAGATAGTATTGGTATATTAGGAATAGTAGTATGGACTTGAGCAAAGGCTTGTAAGGGGGTTTTCTGGTAGTGAAGGCTTGTTTAACTGGAAAAAAGTCCCCAGCAACTTTCATCAGGCCTAGTTAAAAGGCCAGCATATGACAATTAGGTTGCATTAAGCATTCAGAGAACTGTAAGGTACAGTCCTTTTATTGATAGGGATGGATGTTATGATCTAATAGGTATTTTCCATCTTTAATTTTTATTATTCTAGTGACCTGAAAGTCCCACTTGCAATCTTCAAAATGAAAAAATATCTTCATAATTTATATTTATATAGAATGAATCTCATCAATTTCGTTACATGGCTGCCATCCTTCGACACTGCTTATTAACCACGGGCCCTTCTGAAGACAAAACTGAAGAGTTGCACAGGTGGGTAAAATTGCAGAACCCATCTGTTTTGAAAGGGTTTGTTTTGGGTTTTTTTTTTTAATAGGCAAAAAAGTACTTTGTCTAAAATATAAAGTGGAAGTCTGAGAAACAATCTGAGTAAAATATTCATAATCTTTTTTGATGGAAGCTATTTGCCTGAAATATTGTTTAAGCATGTCCATTATTCCAGATGGAAAGTGGCTGGTAGGATTGTTAGTTTTGATCAGTGACAATGAGGCAGACCTTTTTGAAATCTTTTTGTGGGTGTATGTATGTAACTAAGAATGAAAATACATATGGAAGTTTGAGGGGTAGTGCAAATTGAGGTGGAATGCAACTGCTGTTACCTTGCAGAGAAGCTGATGGAAAAATGAGTTTTGAGAATTTTTTTGTATGGAACTTTTGCGGTTCTGATGGATTGGGATGGAAATAAGTTGATAATTTATTTCCAAGAGCTCCAGGCTTCTTTATTAAAAGTATAAATATCAGTTCCCTGCTAATATCTTTTTTTTCCAGAGATGAGTTACTCATCTTGCAGTTTAAGGTGCATTAGGTTTTTTTCCCTCAGTCCTGCACGCAACTGTTTGTTACGTATTTACAGCCAGTAATTCAATCAAAATTCAGAGTATTTTGAGTGAGGTGGTGGTTCTCTGTTCGGTGTTTTTTCTGTGACACCCTATTTTTATCTAACTAGGTCAGGGCCTGACACTATGGTAGCTTCAGACACTATTCCATGTTATCTCTCCGCAATGAAAGTTAGCATTGCCATTTTCTTCTTCAGAGATGGCCGTATGTGTAAGCATAGGATCTTTTGAAGATCATCATCTGAGCTGGCAGTCTCCAGGAGGAGGGATATAGCTTTTCACACCCAGCAATCTTGAAAGCGTTAAATGAACTTGATTAAAATCTTGGAAAGCTCTTACAGATCAACAGTCTTAGAAGGTGAACACTAAAATCCTACATCAGAGCCTTTCTCAGTTGGTGCAGACTAGTTTGGAATAATTTAGGATACCGCTGCAGTAGTTGCCATGACTAAAGTCAGTGCTGTGTCCTGAAAGGCAGTCTGTTTCCTCTTTGCTGCTCCTTATGGTGGGTATTTTGTGCTCTCGTCCGTCTTTAAGGGAGGGACTGGTGGGAATAAGTTCCCCACTGCTGGGAAAATTGAAGAGACTTGGATAAATTCAACAACTACAAGAAGACAGAGATTGGCCTTTAAGCATTTACATTTGTACATAGTCAGCAAGACTGCCTGATACTCTGGTGAGCTACTGTACAGCTGATGCACTTTCTGTGAACACATCATGTGTTTCCTTGTCCAGGAATCTGACTAGTCTAGTCACCCTGTAAAATTCAATTATCTTGTGCTATTGCAAAAAGATGTATGTTATGCAGGTCCTTTTGGTTTTAGCTTTTGCAAACATTTGCAGGTAAGATCCAAAAAGAGCTTTACATATAGAAGTAGGCAGCTTTAGAGAATACGTGGTGCTGGTGTGATTTCTGTCCATTCTCTTTTCAGTCAGAGGGACATTTTGTGTAGAGATGCTGCCCATGTGGATCATACTGAGACACCAAGTCAAGGCAAGGATTCTCCATAATTCTGAGAGGGGGAAGCAGAAATGAAATGAGGATCACTGTGTCACTTCAGTTGATTCCCCTTCTCCATCAGACTCAGTGTGGCACTGCATCAGCCTTTCTGTTATGCTGGGAAAACAACTTTCTCCCTCTGTTAGCTGACTGTAGGTATTTTGTTTAGCTCAAGTTGATAGAAGAAAGAATGCAAGTATAGTATTGCTGATTTTAAATTGATCTTGATTTATGTCAAACTGAGCAGTTTTTAACATGCTGGAAGAGCTTTGGGCAGATTTTGACTTTTGTGATTCGGACGTTTCAGCCCATTTGCAGAACCTGAATTTTGTCCATGAATGGTACAAGATGCAGTAAAAGCTGAATAATTTAATATGCTTTTCCACTAAGACTATTCGTCACAAGGCTGCTCTGGAATAGAAAAGATAAAGTCAGAAGTAATGCCCCTGCAAATCCTCAGCCTGGATCAGAGGGCCCCACTTCAGTCCCCTGATGTACTTGGTCAGGCAAAACATTCATTCCTGATAGGAGCTTCAATAATGAATGAGTAAACTTGTGTTAGCAGTTTAGAGCTAACATAGCATAGCTACAAAAATGAGGCTGTGTTGTCATTTGGGCTGTTCAGGATGCTGGACTCTGACTGTGCAATGTGTATTGCTAGAGATGAGGTGTGAGTCGGAGAGCAGAGTGCAACTTCTCACTTTGGGTTCCAACTGGAGCCTATCAGTAAGGCAATTACAAAAATAATGTTAAAAATAAAGTAAAATATAAGCAGTATTGAATGCAGAATGAACTTTATGAAGCGTCAGGGAGGCATAAGTATGTTTCTTAGAATTGCTGATCACTTGCACGTCGCCAAGTTTGTAAATCTGCGGAATGTGAGATGCTGAAATGAAGGGTTTGGGCAGCCTGTTAAAGCACATTGTGTGGATGCTTATGCTCCGAATGTGTCAGTTGAGGATTTATTTTATGTGAGCATCAGGTGTTGGATACACGCCCTGAGCTGTGATGTGCTGATTGTCAGTGTGGCTCTATTTCTAATAAATAAGAAGTTACCTATAAAAATACCCTAACTAATTTAGTACCTGGTATTGTTGTCGTTATCGTGGTTCTGTCATGTCATTACTTAATGTGTGAATATGAACAGCTTAAAGCGCCACATTTTAAGAGTAAGCGCCATTTTTGCCCACTAACAAGGTTTTAATCAAGGCATTCAGCAGCTCTAAATAGGCCTTTGCTTCTGAATTTGCATATCAGGAGGGGGCTGGGAGCATGAGTGGGTGGATGTCATGTCCCAGTGATTAATGATCTCTAGGAAGCCGAAAAGGGGAGAGTAATATACGCAGTATTTCTACCCCCTGGAGTAGGAATGCAAACACTATTGTGCAGATCTGTGCATAGTCACTGACTTCCTGGTAGCTGGAGAATTTCATACACTCCTCTACCACAAATAAAACTGTCAGTGGAGTGACAAAGATCAGAAAGCCAGGCTTCATTTATTGAAAAGAATAGCTCAGACACAGTGATCCAGAAAATTAATTTTGTAGGTGTTTGGGAACTTGGTTGTTTAATAAGAAACTGGTAAAAAAGAGAACTTTTGATGAAAGGCCTGAAGCCACCAAATATTTGTTGAATTTCAGTCTGCTTTGTTTCTGGCTATTCCTGAATTATTGGAGAGGAATAACTTCCATGATATAAAAGACGTATCTCAAACAGGAATTAGAAACAAAACAAAGAGAACAAGCTTTCCAAAAAGTAGAAGTTGTCTGAATTTCAGTTGCTAAAAGAGCAAAAGGGAGATGGAACAATGCGGCACAGCCACCCAGTCTGAGCAGACCAAAACCAGCACACTTGTTAGAAATCCCACTACATTTGATTTCTCTTTTACTAATTCTTTGTTAGGATTATATTAATAACATAGAAACTTAGGGCAGATTGTAAGTAGGTATTATTAAAAGTGTTAAATTAAGTTGTTCGGAAAGTTTTCTCGATTCTTGGAATGCTTCTTGAAACGTCAGTACTCGTAGTTCCATTGACAGCTTTGAGGTCTGCATATGTAAGCTTAAATAGTTCTGTAGTATTTCAAAGTATATCCAGTTTTAAGTTTAGTTGTGCATCAGCAAGTAAATAATGACAGAATTCTCATTTTACAGCATTTGTGTAATTCAGCCCCATATTCAGGAAAAGTACAAACCCAACTCTATATAATGAGACCAGGATAGATAGGAAACTCAAGGGATGTGTATACACCATACAAGAGACCCTTGCAAAGTAAGTTCCTTCTTACTCCATTAGAGATGAGGGATGGACCCAGTGGTCTAATTTAAATCACTTAATGGATATTTGGGAAGTGCTTCTCTTTGTGCTTTGTAGAATGCAGAGACTGCCAGTTACTGAAAGTAGTGCTCAGTAAATAAACCTGAATCTCTTTTTAATGTGTTAAAAGGCTTCTGTATTTCCAATACACTACAAGCTAAGTAAAAGTGAAAATATTTCAGGGACCTGAGAAATTGCCACCACGATCCACTGTTACAAGAGGAGGAGATGTTTTCTATGGTGTACTTGGTAGTATTAATGATCGTAATACGGATGTGTTGTAAAATGTTTTAAGTTCCAAGGAGGAAAAAGCTCTGACCGCTGCAAATCAATGTGAGAGTTCCCCCTGCTGTCCTGCAAGATCAGCTGCTGTAATGCACTGTTGGATGCTGTGCCTTATCTGTGGGATAGAGGATACTGTGGGGGCTGGAAGCAATAATGCACTGCTGCAATATAGCTTTCGGAGCTTTTGTCTTTCTTTTTGCTTGTTTGTTCCAAGATAATGTATGCTGCCTTCCTTAAACCCCAGGGAGTAGAAACTAAAGCACTGTTTGAGTTGCTGGGCCTCTTTTTGGTTGCTGTTGTACAGTTTCTGGTGAGTTGTACTCTGTTTTTAATTCTTTCTTCCAAATGAGTAATAGTTTTTTTGTTAAATCTGTTTCAGCAATGCAATCAACCTCTTAAGCAATGTTCCTGTTTCTTGCTTGGATGTTCTTATTAAACCATCATCCCAAGAGGAAACAGATATAAAATACAATGGTATGAATATGGGAGCAATTCAGATTTTACTGGATTTCATGGAGAAGAGAATAGACAAGGTATGGGCTGCAAAGATTCTACGCAATGGGGGCCTCTTTCATTAAAACAAAAAGTGCACACATGTAAAGCTTCTTAGAAACCTTTGAGACAGTATTTAGCACAAATATGGATGTCCTGCTTCTAGACTGTGAAACACCTCAAAATTGAGAGCAAATTCCTATGAATATCTGAAGCATATTTGTGTATGAGGATGGACTTCTGGCTCTTTGGTTATAACTGTGTAAATTCCATGTTTTGGCTGTCATATAGGACTTTATTGAAGGGTTCACAGGATTTGAAAAGGAAGATTTGCTCTTTAAAATGTTTTATCTGTATCTGATTTTATTTTAGGGAAGCAGCTATAGAGAAGGTTTGACTCCAGTTCTCAGTTTATTAACTGAATGCTGCCGAACTCATAGGAATATCAGGAAGTTTATCAAAGCTCAGGTAAGTAAAATATTCATCAAAATTTGAATATGAAGCTAGTGATAAACTTTCTGAGGTTTGTACATCGGTGCAAGACACTGACACTTTAAGAGTACAAATGATTTCATATTAAATTACCCACAACGTTCTCTGCAGTAGTTTCTTCTGTTACGTCTCTGACAACTGTCAGCTGCAGAAATGATTTTTCAGTCATGTAAATCAAGAGATATGGCCTAAGTTCCATGGTACATTTTGTAGAGCTGTTAAATAACATTAGGGGTATTTTAAAGCTGTGTTAGTGTGGGTGACCATGGACCACCTGACACAGGGGCAAAAACCTCAGTGGGGTCTGTCCCCTTACATTCAGCATATATTAAAAAAAATAAATGAGTGCAGTTAAAACTTTGCAAAGCTGTGTGGTAGCCAGTGAGGCCACAGGTGTTTTGATGGGTTCTTCTTGAGCTTCAGTTTGATCTCAGCAGGCGTGAGTCATTGGAATTGAAGCTTGTGTACCACTGTGTATCAGCTGTTCTGTCAGATTCAAACTGTCTCTGAACAGAAGCACACTTCATCACTTCATCTCTTACAAGAGCTGTTCAGTACAATACAGACTGTGGGTAGGCTTTTTACAGGAAAAAAGATGTCTATGCCACGGTTAAAGATCTAAAGGATCTCTGTGGCTGGGTGTTGTGTCTTCTGTTTGTTTTGCTGTTTTTCCTGAAGTCAAATGGAGGGAAGTTAAAAGATGAGCAGGGGAAAGACAGCTGAAAACAGCTGAGAAATGGTTTTTTTCTTAAGCAGAGGTGATTTTCGGTTGCATCGTAGATAAAAGCTGTGCCTGAATTCAGCAATGGAGTTTATAATGGAAAAGAGCATATATTTTCTGCCGCTTTCATCTATACCAGAAAAGTAGTTTGGAGGAATTTGAGGAACTTGTTCTTGCTGAGTATTCTTTTGTTTGCAGCAGTTCTTTCCTGGGATACTCTTCTGATCTGTTAAATAACATAAATAATTAAATAAATTGCAGAGCCAAGCGTTCAGAAGTTAGCAAATGAAGTTGTCTTCATGTTTTTACGACATCTTGGCATCTAGATGTCAGGATATAATTGCATGCTGTTTCCTACCACAGGACCGCTGCCTCATATAGTGCACAGAATGGATGGATACTGCTAACTGCATGACTGGATGTTTGATATTTTGAATTACCCTCATTGTTAAGTGTTGGCCTTAGGCTTTATTTATTGTGCACCATTCAAATTCTGATCTGAAGACAGAATGATTAATTTCCTCATGGACTGTCCTATGACACTCATCACTGCATTAGTATTAGAGTACTCTGAAAACATTAATTCATTCTTACAGCACTCTGTGAAATAGCAGTCATGGTACTATCCCCATTGGGGAAAGTAAGCAGGGACAAAGTAAAATGGTTTTGCTAATTGTTTGAATACTTCGTTTGAAAAAGATGGGGTCTAGTTTTTTTGAAGTATTCAATAGTGTAGCATTCATTTGTTTAAGTATGAGTTCCCAGGGAGGCTGATTTCAGTAGTAATTGTGCAGTAATTTTGCATAGAACATGGCATTTTACATTAGACACCCAGAAAAGAAAGGATCTGCAATTTCTTAATGACAATAAGTGACATCTTTGGTTTCGTTCCCTAGTAAAACATCGGGGTAAAACTATAGGAGTCTTCAGATCATTACGTCTTTCATATTATAGCCCAGTCTGTTTGCAGATAATATCATATCCTGTGAACGTGGAAAAAATTAATATAGATTTTGAGCCTGAAGGCATATGTATAAGGAGACGGTTTGCAGATAATATCAGATCCTGTGAACGTGGAAAAAACTAATATAGGTTTTGAGCCTGAAGGCATATGTATAAGGAGACAGAAGTTAGGTTGCAAAACCAGCCGTATTTCTCCTGCCCTTCTTCAGGGTTGAAGTTACTGATATTAATGACATTTAATGAGAAAAGAGTGTGTTTGAGGAAAATTAAAAAAATGTTTTCTCCAAAATTGTTCTGAAATTTAGCTTGAGCTTTTCAAAGAGTGTTTTCTGGGAGAAGGCCGTATTTCCTCTGTACATGTTGAGCCCTTTTTTGAAAGTCATGGTAGTAGAACTTGCAGTGTGACTTCTTTTCCTGCCTTTTCATCATAAGTATATTAATTGTTCTGTATAAATTACCCATCATGTTAACATTGTAAGATCCCTTAAGCTGGTATTTTTAACGCTAATGCCAGATATCTGAGCAAAACAAAGAAACAAAGAACATTACATCACTGATGCCTGTTGGCCAACTCTTTGGGAATACTTACTGTGCTCTTAAACGCCTAATAATTATCTTTCTTTTTAAAGTCTGTGTTTGGGACTGAGTACTCCTCTGCCCAGGATGGCAGACCAGAAGGCCTGAACATATTAAGAAGCAAGAGTCATTGCTAGTGCATGAAGTATAGCTGGGTTGATTTTATTCCTCCTTTTGAAGGAGCAGAGCTTACAGTATTTTCTTGCTCTGTTGGCTGTGTTTGTTTCTGCAAGGATTGGCTAGGTATTGCCATGCATTCTATGTTGGTTTTCCTGTTTTTGTACTGGTAGGTGTTACCTCCGTTAAGAGATGTATCAAACCGTCCAGAAGTTGGCACAACAGTGAGGAACAAGCTTGTGCGTCTCATGACACACGTTGACCTTGGAGTAAAGCAAATTGCAGCAGAATTTCTTTTTGTTCTTTGTAAAGAGAGAGGTAAAAAATTACTTCTTCTTCTCCCTTTTGTATAAGGTCTTGCTGTAGTTAGTGTATTTGCCTTTTGCTATAGTGCTGGATTCTTGTAACACTACGGTGGTTCTGTTTTGTAGCTGATTACAGCTGAATGATTTTCTCTTTCACCCTTTGCAGTTGACAGCTTGTTAAAATATACAGGCTATGGTAACGCAGCGGGATTGCTGGCAGCAAGAGGCCTGTTAGCAGGAGGAAGAGGAGATCATTGGTACTCAGATGATGAAGATACAGATACAGAAGAATACAAATCTGCAAAGCCAAAGTATACTATTGTTTTCAATTCTGTGTGTCCTGTTGCAATTTAGGTGTTTTGACATACTTTTTTTGTTTCAACTCTTCCAGAGAGGCCAGTTTTGGAATTACATGTTCTTGTATTAACTACTGCCTCCTGTTGACTTCATGGTCTAATTATTGAGAAACCAGCCTCTGATAGTGACCATCATATAGTCAGATAGCTCCATGGGGCAGGCCTGGGGGCCATCAGTATGAGAGTGATCTAACTTCAGTCTCAAAAACTGTTTAACAGTCAAGTGTGAAAAGAGATTTTTAAGCAAATTGTAGGAAAACGAAAAATAGTAACCAACTTAGCAAGGATGGCTTTTGCCCCAGATTTTCCAGGGACTCCCATGAAGTTGCCAAACGACTATTGTCTGTGCGGTATATCTCTATAACAGAGGAAATAAAAGTGTCAAATGTGGTTTAAGGTTTTAAGCAGGACTTCATAAAAATGAAACAAACCTGTAGATCTAGTTTCAGCCAGTTGGATTGCCTGGTTCTAAAATTTTCTGAAAGATTGAGTAGGTCCATAAAAGTCATGCATCAGGAATCCAGTATATGTGTTTGAAGGATTCAGTGATCATACAGAAGCTCTGCCTGTTGATTTTTATTAACTGATTTGATTTGGTGTTAGAGGTTTCAGTTTGTCATGTTACATCTGTGCTTTTAATTAGGTTCTGAAATTGTCAATAGTGGGCATCTGAAGCATGTTATTTTTCTGCTTTACTTGGTTTTCATTGAATTACACAGACATGGTTAGGTGTATGACAGGGAGTTGTGGCTGACTGAAAGATTCTTATTAAGGAGCATTAACAAAAGACAGGAACTCTAAAACATGAGGTTTCTTCTTATTTCTGAACTTCGAGATTGCTTTTTTCCCTACTCTTTTGTCTCTGATCTTATTTCAAAAGCCTAGCATCCAGTTACATGCATATAGGTAAAACTAAATTATCTGTTTATTTAAAAGCTGACATTTGAATGACAACTGTCAGTTGATTTAGGCATCTGATTTTCTACACTGCTCGTAAATGTTTGTGATTAAACTGCTTGAAAAGAGAATTTGCCCTGAAAGTGTTCTTTAAAACTATTTCTCTGCTTTTGTTACAATTTCTGTACAGCCATTCACTTGTTTTAACAGTGGAAATAAAACTGGCATTGTAAATTCTCAAAATAAAGTAACCTTAGTTTGATTTGAGCAAAAATCAGCGTAGGAGGGAATAGTCAACCAATTCAGCAGTTCTCCATGGAAGAACTGGAACCTGTCTGTATTTTGAAAGTTAAGCCTGTACAGAAGTAGCTTCAAAGATGTATCTGTTGCTCTGTTTCCCATCTATGTCATTGTTACTAATGACATTGTTGTTATTTACCATCATTATTCCCCTGCTTTCAAACTGCTTGTGTATGGGTGATAAACGTAACAAGTACTAGTGGACGGTGTATTTCTGAGTAGCTAACAAGAAATTAATACTGTGAATCAACAAGGAGATAATATCACAATTCGTGAGAAAAGGCTACAAAACAGGTATAAATATGAAGGTTGGCTGTTTATATTAAAAGCTTTCATTTGCAGTTCAGATAGTTTTAGTCTTGGTGGTTTCTTTTGGTGTGTTCCTCTTTCTACCTATCAAGAAGATAAAAAATTGACATACTTAGAAATGTAAACTGTCTTGTTTTTTCCACCTCCAGCATTAACCTTATCACTGGTCACTTAGAAGAACCAATGCCCAATCCAATGGATGAAATGACAGAAGAACAAAAAGAATATGAAGCCATGAAGCTTGTCAACATGTTTGACAAACTTTCCAGGTATTGCATTATAGCTGCTTTTGAGGGAAGCAGTTTGTATCCTGGCTCTTTTCTAAGGTCTGGTGCTTCAAACTGGTGCTATAATCAACTTCTTCACAGGATTAGGACCCTTTTAACTGCAGAGGAAAATCTTTAGCACTTCAAAGAAAGAATTATATGTAACAGGACTTCAGAGGAAACCTGTTTTGGAGAGGATTGGTAAATGGAAAGAGTTTCCCCTTTGAAAGTGTGGGGGACAATCCAACCCCAAGGCTAGTGTATTCTTTTCCCCAAGTCAATGAGCAGCATCTCATGGTAACTACTTACGTCTGCTGCTTATATGAAAAACAAACACAGCGTGAAAATATTTCTCATCAGAAGCAATAAATTATATAATGGGGCAATTAAAAGGGAATTTACAATTAAGAATTACTGTGGATTTATTAGAGTAGAGTAAGTGTGGGCTGGATTACAAATGAGCCTTTATAATTTCTTTTAAATAACTGAGGTAATGCCATAAAAGAAGGCGGTACTTAATGTGACATAAAGGTGTACATTATTGGTACAGAAAGTTGACTTTTATTTCATAGCTTTCTGCATACAAAAAAGGAACAGTCCTGTGCTGTTAGTTACAGCTTTTCTTTTTCCTGTGACTCAGTATGCCTAGAGTTTGCTGGTTTTTCTTCCCCCATACTTGTAGCCAGATTGGAGCAATTGCTTGTAGTTTGGTTTCTGTGGAAGCAAAATTTTACATTCTTAAGTAACACTTAATGTAATACTAATTTACCAGTGAATTGAGCTGTAGGAATTTAGGTAGATATATTAGTAGATCATTCTTCAAACATGTGAAAACTCAGCAGCGAGAAATGTGTTTGTGTTTCGTGAGAGTCTGTAGATAATCAAACAAGATCTGTTAAGAGAAATTAGCAAGCCAAGTATTTTTACATCTCTGTTAAAGATTAGGAATACAGCAAAAGATGGGAGAACCTGAATTTTGTAATAGCTGAAAAGACTGAATTATAAGCAGGATTGAAAGCAGGGAAGGATCTTGGAACAACTGACCTGAGACTCAGTGAAGTAATTGGATGCTTTTTCCACATTATTTGCATGGAGAGCAAGTGTAGTATGTTACAGTCTTTTTAATAAAGAGAAGAAAATGCAGTGCACATGCAATCTTCATTGAGCTACTATGTAAAACGGGATGATTGCAGTGTAAACTAGAGAATTAAGATGCTGAGCGTTGGGGTACCACAATGAAATAACTAAATGGTCTAAAACTTTTTAAAAGGAAGATTGAGACCGGAGATAAACTAAGACTGAAGACAAGTCTGTTACTATCACTATAGCAGTTACACAAAAGTCCAAATGGCCTTACTGTAGCATAAGAGCCTTTTCAGTTTGGAGGATTGGAGGCACCTGCTGTGTTGCCTGCTTCAAACTGACAATAACTAAGCAGCTGGTGCCCTGTGTCACTACTTACCCTCTGGGCCAGTAGCTTTACTTTCACCTTGGGCTTTCTGTGTCAGTTACATCCACCTGCAGTTTCTTCTGTAGTACTTAGGTTGGAAACTCTTCAGGGCTGGAACTGTCTTTGTTGTAAGGTTTTTTGTTTGTTTGTTTTTTAGTATTAGCGATTACAGTGGGACAGTGTTGTTGATGTGACCCCTTTTTAGGTGCTGCGATAACATGAATAAAATCACTTGACTGTTCTTCCCACCCTTTTTGTTTACTGAAAATTAGGGGGTGAGGGGAAATGCTGGCAGGAAGGAAAAAGAAAAGACTACTTAGTCTTGGGAGGCAGTGGGATGTTTTTAACGAATGTAATTGAGCGCAATTGTAGGGTTTGCAGACGTTAAATAAAATGGGAATCTGCCAGTCCTGTAGACAAGAAGAAAGGGTTGTAACATGCTGATAGTAGTGGGAGTCCCTCCACGCTTTTTGAATTGAACACTTCTGCCTCCAGGTTGAGCCCTTTGGTGCTCGGAGTGTTCAGATACCTCAATCTGCCAGTGGAATGCACTTTTTTCCCTTGGTTTGCAACCTACAAATTTAAACTGGAGATTGATTCTGGATTTTGAATCTTGCTTTGAGGCAGACTGATGGTGGCAGGTTTCTTACTTCTGCTGGTCTTTGTTGTTGTCTTCAAAAGAGAGGACGTATACCATGAACTGAGCAGTTTCTGTTTGGTGCAGTGCTTTGCTTATATAAGAGGAGGAAGTTGGACAGGGAACAAACAGCTCCTTCTTTTAATCGTGAATGAGTTTATGTATCTGTGCAACTTGAACAAAAGCTTAGAGTGAACTTGCATGGTGTACAGCAAAACTGGTTTGCTTAGTATGCTTGTATTGTCCTGGTAATGGAAGCTAAGCTTTGAAGAGCTAGCATGCTTTTACTGGAGAAAGGTATGAAACAAAATGAAGTTGAAGGCCTGAAGAACTTGCTTTCTTCCCTGACTGATGAGGATTATTAGGCCAGTTTATCACTGGGATGTTACAGATTGGGCCTTAGCTGGCTCTGTATTGGTTTTGAAATGTTACCTGATGACAGGTTCAGCTACAGCAGTCACTTCTGAACTCAGAAAACAAATTTACAGAACAGTACTACTTCATTGAAAAGTCATAGCCTGCATTAATGGCTGCTGTTTACACTGTGCCCTTAGTAATACAGTGGTATTTTCTCCCTTGTTCCATAAGATGCCAGTGGATTTTTGTTCTCCAGGTTTCTCTTTATTCTTCAGCACTGGCACTGAACAGTTGAAACTGTTTTGAGATGATGTAAAACTGATGCATGCTTTTGGTTATTTCAGGTCTTAGTTCCAAATTGTTTCTATTCTGTTAGCTTGTTGGTATGTTTAGGCCTGTTCATGGGGTAATTGACCATTGACAAGGCTAAATTAAAATTAATCACCCATTTTGTTTTATCAAAATGTATGGAGGAAAGCTGATTATTGTTTGTGAACCCATTTCTCCTGCCCTAATATATTAGCATAGACTTGGGTTCTACAAAAGCTTTTATAGAAATCAGTATTCTGCTCAAATTCAGCTAGATGAGATTACTTTTTAAAATCATTAACTATATATAAATGATAAGTGTGAATGAAGATGAAAAATCTTGATTACTGCAGCTCTTGGAGATGTAGATGTAACTTTGGTAGTTTGTTGGGTGCCTGAACTTGGCCCTGAAGTACCTCTGTGGGCTTTGTCTGCACTAATACGATCTTGTTGATTCATTGAGAATTGTTTGGTGACTGTAAAGTGGTGTCTTGTGTATGTGATGCACGTCTTTCAGCTTTGAAAAACTCCCCCAAATCTGCAAAAAGATTTAACTGAACCTTTCATTTTTGCCAAATACCGAGTTAGCCACCTTCCATCAGTGCGGTACGATATTCTGTCTGCTTATATAATAGATTATTTGAGATACTCTGTGTTAATTAAAATGTCTGGAAAAAATGCTAGCAGTTTTTGCTATTATAAATGGTAGGTAGAATTGTATATTAATTGACTAATTTAAAATGTCAGGATGCTTTTTCCAAGCCAACCTTGTATTAATAGCAAGAATCCTTTTGCTGATGAAATGGTCTCCAATTATCACGGCTTGGGTTTTGTTGTACATTGAACAGAAGTCAACAAAACGAGTATGTAAGAGAACCTGTCTAAATAAGCAACCATACTCATTAAAAACACAAAATTAATCATAGGATCAATGAAGAAGGCAATGTTACATAGGGGTTTTTTTTTTCTCCCCTTTCTAGCCTTAGAACAAAATAATGTTACATGAAAGGATCAGAACTATTATGTAGTACTCAATTATAAGGAGGTGAATAGGTCCCTAACATGCCATTTTATCAAAGGAGCAGACTGGTGTTTACATGATGGCTGTTTGATTACTGACACTGTCATTAATTCTGTGTGTCAATACTGCCCTATAGCTCATAGAGCAGACAAGAAAGAGTTACCCTTCAAAACAAGGGAATGATTTTTGAGTTGTTAAGCTAAATGGCAAGCAGGAAGCTACAACTTGTATAGATACATTTGAAGGGACTCTTGGGAGATCTGGAATTGGAAGAAGAGAATGTGTTTTACTAACTGTTTAATTATGGTGTGTTTCTAAGTATACTTGAATAGAATGCTTTGTTCGCATTAGAAAAATGCATGTTGCAGGAAGGTGTATTTGACTATATGAGAGGTCATGTAAAGATGTTCAAATATTTCAGATACATATAAATACACAGATTATGTACTTGTATATATCTTCATGGATACAGAAGTATTCCCACTGCCACCTACTGGGCTGAAGCAATCTCTTTCTGCCCTATAGATGTACTGTAAACATGCAGTTTCTGGATAGTGAACTGTCTTCTGAGGCTATACCTGCCAGTTTCTGGTGCTTCCCTTGCCACCTTGAATGGTAAGCACATCCTCAGCTAACCCAGGTTGTCAAAGTTCAGTTGAGGTCTCTAAGCAGCCAGTGCTGAATGGGCAAAATTGTTGAGGCAGGCAGAGCTGAGACCATTCATACCAGGTAAGGATCAGCTAACTTCAGTATGATACTGAAGTGATGCCCTTTGCAATCCTACCCAAAGCTCTGTTAGTTAGCAGATAGTCGTTCCAAACTTCTGAGGCTGGCTTTGTGGGCAGTCCAGATGTTTTCAGCTATTTGTCTCCCTTTGTATTTTTCCACTTTGAGAACCAGGAGTAAGCTTGTGTGGTGTTCAAGAGCTTGCAGTCATGTCTTCACCAGTGAAAGGATGCCCTGTTTTGTACCATTTTAGGACTAGATTGTGGTTAGGAAAAAGCAAGGCTGATACCTGCTGCTTCTCCTACTTCTTTTGGTGGCCTAGAATATTTGCGTCTTCAGTTTCACTGGGTAGCATCTGTCTGAGGAAGGGTGTGTGGAGTTCATCCTTCTCATACAGAGAGAACTTGTAACAACCATCTTTCATCCTACCAAGGACTGGCAAACTAGGAAGCTCCTGCAGGAACAGAGAGGTAATTGACAAGTATACTTGTTATTCTGTGAAATCTGAGCTCAGCCTAGCTCAGAGTTGAAGCCTAGAGAGAAGGAAATGCATTGGGGATGAACCTCAAATTCACTACAGCATGATTCATAACAGCGCACTTTGAAATGAGTACAGTGAACCGAGAAACAGGCTTTTGAGCACCACCAAAGAAGATACAAATGCGTGTCAGTGACTCAGACTTCTGCATTACATTGTCATGCAAAACGTGTAACGTGTCATGCAAAAGACCCCCACAAAAACCACAGACCAATACTTGTGCATATGGATGTCTTCTCTATTGCATCTGGTGTTCAGTGTCTCTCCAGATGACTCACCAGGAGAGAAAAACTTCGTGTCAGGCTCTGCAGGGTGCGTAGCAGGATGTAAAAGTGAAGCACGAAAGGGCAGTGCAGAGAAAGAGCTGTGTCTTTGTAACTGACAAATGGTGAAATAGGACTTCTTGACAATATTTACAGATACCTTGTAAGGATCCCTATGTGAGGGAGGCCCCCACATAAGCGGACTTGGGGACCATGTTTGTCTCTCTTTTCTTTTTCTTGAACTGTTTCTTTATCCTTTAGCAGCCATTATATTTTATTTATTACCAGTAATAAACTGTAAATTACTAGTTAATGATGTGATTCTGTGACTTCTGGCTACAGCGTTAAATGTTGCAACCTAAGAGTATGTGTTGTGGTTTTAAAAACAAACATGTAGGCTCCTCTCAGCTCAGAAGGCATTTTTTGTACTTTGTGGCTATGTTTTTACTTTTAGGACTTAAAAAATATGAGCAAGGACTTACCAGGTTATTCTCTAGAAAATAAGTGTAATAGTTCACTATCGAGGCTTGAACTTGAGTAAGTGACATTGAAGAATTGTTGCAAGATTACAGATTTCAAAGGACAATTGGTTTGTATTACGGTGCTTAAAAGCCAGAAAGGCCTTAGATGTATAGGGGGGGGTTTCCTGTCAAAAAAGTTTTTGCTATGAGATGCAACTCCAAAGCACTCTGGCTTTGCCTAAGGGGATCCTGGCAGCAGGAAGGCAGGGTTGTGATCCTGTCTGGACACTGGATCTGCAGTCTTCATTTTTTGAGCCTTTTCAAATCTGATTTGGGCAGAATCTGCATACTGTAGGTTGCATTGCCTGAATGAAGAGGACTTGCTGTCAGTCCTCAAGCATGGCAGGCTATTTTTAGTCTATTTAAAGATAGATTCTACACACATGCAGAGGCAGAGTCCAGCCTGGGCTCTTAGTTTGGTCGTTACAAACCTTCCCTGGCCTCCTTAGCCAAACCACTGCAGTTTCTCCAGGTCCAGTTTCTCATGTATTGAAATGCCACAGGCAGTGGGATTTGTGAGCTTATCACCGTACTATCGTGATTGCCACATCTGTGCAAATAGCCAGCAGTTATCTTGCTGGTCTCTTCTCTTCCTGAGCAAAAAGACTCTTGGAGACTTAATTTAACTTCTGCTTGACTGTACTACGTCCAGCGTACACATGCCATGCAGTTCATAGAATCATAGAATAGTTTGGGTTGGAAAGGATCTTAAGATCATCTAGTTCCAACCCCCTGCCATGGGCAGGGATGCCTCACACTAGACCATGTTGCCTATGGCTCTGTTGTGGCCTTTCTTGCTGTTCCAGTGGTTGTGTTAAGGTTAGCTTGCCAGCTGTGTACAAACAGTTTCTGTCCTTTTTCAGCCAAGGTAGTAGTGCAGACCAGGCAGAGAGCTAGTGAAATGCCTTTGCTTCCCCATTGGGTGATAGAGTTTTATGTCTGTGGCTCGGGGAGGTGGTATATATGTGTTAAACTGGCAGTTTTAGTGGGCTGCCTTTCAAGCAAGGGGTAAATTGACATCAAACCTCTGCTCCTTTATTTAAGGTGACTCCTGAATATTTAGAGGTATTCTCCTTTTATTTTTTATTTTTTTTTTTAGCAGATAATCAAAATGTTATCTTTGCCCTTACAGCTTTTGCCATAATCCACATATAAATGAGGTGATAAAAAGTAAGGATTAAATAAATCTTTGCTAATACTTTTTGATTGGCTTAATCAATAATTAATCATCTCTTAGATGAGGCTGTAGCTTGTGGAGTAGATATAATTGGATTAGCTGCTGAGAGGCCTTTGGAGCTTTGAAGAGATTAAAATGGCTGTCAATCCTGTAATTAAACTGCCACAAACAAAAGCAATAGCATTAGAATCAGTCAGCTTTTTTTTTTTAAATGAATCAACAAGTACTTACACACCCTTAGTAGTGGTGTAGGCAGAGTCCGTTCTCCTAAGTGATTTATTTCCTTCAACAGGGTGAATATGTATCAAATCATTGCTTTAATTGCCTGGGCACATACGGGCCAGAATGGCCAGTGAAATTTTAGGAAGAAATGGCTGTCAGGGAACTTTTAGAAGAAAAGCTAGTTTGTGTATCTAAAACAGTGAACCTGCTCCGTGTCTTGAGCCTATTAGGCACTGACTTTTCATGGTGTCTTTAATTGGCTAAGTAGGTTTGGCCTACATGAATGAAGTCTTTATCTGTCCTGCTCTTCCCCTCCCACCTATTTTGGAAGGTTTTTTGTTCCTCTTTCTTCAAAACAGAGGGCTTTAGCAGAAATAACTTCCTTTTAAAGGCTCATTATGTACTAAAGCATATACTGTATGTGACTGTATTATACATGTGTGAATTGATATGTGTGCATATGCTAATATATATTCTTCTTTTAAATCTCTTACAGAGATGAGCTTATAAAACCAATGGGAGTGCGGCCGGATGGTACAATGGCTCCTTTGGAAGAAGCAGTCGGCCAGTACCATACCAACAAGCAAGACAGTTCAGATTCAGACTAAAGCATCACCTGCTTCACCCTCAATTCTCCTCTAATCCACACGTTTCCTTAGAGCCACAACATCTTTTATCTAGGCATTTTATCCTCGCATTAGCCAGCATTACTCTTCTATTATTGGGATATTTAAATATGGTATAATGCCTGAAATTTTATTATGTATGTTTAAAGAACATACCGACGTATTAGTTTATGGACTTTATTAATTTAAAACTAAACGTATTTCAAAGGGATAAAAAGTGAAAGCCTACAATGTAAAATAAAATACAAACACTTCGATTTTCCAGAATCCTGTTTTCTGAACTCTGTAGGTTTTCCCATTCTGGATATTTTATTTTTTGTATTGTCTTGCCAGTCTTCCCCTTTATATAATTGTAATGAAAGAAGCATGTTTGCTTAATGGCATTAGGAGCAGAGGGTGTTTAAACTTGGAAGTCTGACTGACCCTGTGAAGCTGCTTTAACTGATTTTTTAAAATGCCACTGGATTTGTTACTGCTACACACTTCTGTGGTTAAGCTGCTGCTTACGATTTTACCAATGTGTCAGTCACTGACTGCTGCTAAAATTACCTTTAAATTGGGAACAAGATGATGTATGTTGTTTGTCCTACCTCCTCTCCCCTGTTAAGACCACGCAAATATACCCCCGCCCCCTGTCTTCAGTTAAGTAAAAACATCCCTATTCAAAGCAGCATTCAAGTATGTACACTTAAATGTTGCCATGAATGGGAATGGACTAAAGTGGAGTGCATGTGCAAGCGTTTTACTGAACTGGGGCCTACTTTTGGAGATTAACTGATACGCCTCACTTGAAGGGAAGTCAAACTAATCAACAAATATTTCCTTTTAGGGAGAACTTAGGAAGCAATGGGATGGAGAATGGGAAGGTGGGAAGGAGAAGAAAGTGTCACTTTCGACTCTGTAATCTTTTAAAACAAAGATTAAAGTTTTAGACGTGCTGCACCACTGTCGTCGCCTCTTTGCCTGCTTGGTTTCTTCCTCTGCATATTAATGAATGACGTGTTCTTACAGCATTAATTACAGGAAGAATAATCCATGTCTAGTTTGTAATTCCTGGGTTTATTGGTTTGGGGGTTTTTATCAGAAGCAAACACAGGCCATTCCTTCTGAACCTTTCAGAGGTTGGTGGTTTGGCTTTGCTTCCTATGACTTGACACTGGTTCCCTGAACTAAAGCAGTGGCTGTTTAAAGACCTTGGGAAGGGAGGACATGGGATGAAATCATGCTATGGTTTCCCATGTGACGAGCTTCCACAGATGTCTCTAGCCTCCTGAAAGGACTAAAAAGAAATAATGTACCAGTGTCCTCTCAGTAGTTAGGTTTGTTTTCCCAAAGGACCCTGCCCAGCTGTAGTAATGCCTTTTTTTTGAGGGGTGGGGACGGACAAAGAAATCCAATCAAACAAACCCTGAGGAAACTTAGGGACATTGTGTGCGTTTCTGTATGCTGGGACCTTTCTGAATGTTACAGTGATAGAAGTTTTGGATTGTGACTTGACTTGGACTATGCTGTCTGCTGCATCCATGTGAAGCATCACGATTTTCATCCGTGTTCCCACACAGCAATAGCTGAAGCAAACCCCATCAATGTACTGATAATACTGTAATCATACCCATAGTGCATGAATCCAAAAGGGGGAGAGAGGAATTGCCCAGGAGCAAGAGATACGTTTAGCTGCATCTAAGCTGGGTCTCACAAACATAAATCTGGGTTTAGCATCATCCGCTGAGGACTCAGAGCCCAGTCGAGGCAAGCATTAAGTGCACTGCAGGTGCAAAGATTTATGAACCCTCCCTGAGGAGCAAAACTTCACTAGCTCTGTTAATGAGGAATTGAGTGTTGTCTTGGCATCAGCTGAGGCCATTTCTTGGGGCTGGAGAAGCAGTTCTATATGGGTTGCTATAGAGAGATGTGTACAGAGCATGAAAAAGAGCAAAATCTCCATTTGTTGCTTCACAAGTTGTAGAATATGCTTCTACAATTAGCTAGTTAAAGAGATTAATAGAACAACCGTGGCTCCAGGGACCTCATTACAGATGATATAGCATGAGGCTTTTGTGGTCTGGCTCCTGGCAAGTGCAACAGGGCAACAATAGTTGCAGTAAGCAGTTCTTCTGTTTAGTTTATCTTGGAAATTACATGCTCGTAGTAGGTTTTACAGATGTGGGATGCTGCTTCAATTAGAAAGAAACAAATTAAGACCAAGCGTAGGAGTTTCTGTCTGAATGCACTAGCTTGGGTTGCCTGTAGTGCATGTTGATCTAGTTAAACTAATAACTTCCACTAGTGCAGCATCCCAAAGCATCCCTTGCTCCAAAATGACAGTTTGTGGAAAGGGTACTACAAGATTTTTGGGTTTTCTTTGAAATGTAGCATCCTTAGCTGGAGATCTGGGAAAATCTTGGGACAAAGTTCCTCCAACACAACAGTTCGTCTGCTTCCTTGTGTGATGTTTTCTCTTCAAAGTAACCATGTATGCTGAGATTCCTCTTTAATGGGAGTCTGGAAAAAAGTAAAGTGAGTATTTGGTGGTTTAACAGAAGGAAAGGAAAGTCTTCCTTAAATCCTTTGCTGAGAAATTATGGCCGGCTCCTGTGTTTATTTTCAAAGCTAAACCTCGAAAAGTGGAGGCAACTGAACTCTATTTAAACCAGCAAATGGGGCAGCAAATCCAATCCAATTTGGGAATTCTCTCTTTTTTCTCCCCAGCAGAGCAAAGAGGTGCTGCATCCGCATTTGAAGTTCCTGTCTGAGGGGCCCTGAGAATCTGCTACGACCTGCAACATTTGGATGCCTGGCAGTCTCAAGCCCGGAGAGCAATGAAAGGTTTGCTGCCTCTGCTCTGTATGACCTGTTCTGTTTTATACGAAATAATTATGTTTGATTATATAAACATATGCTTCCATTTTTCCTCCAAAACACTCGAGTACAGTTGACTAAGAAACTGCTGTAATCAGAAAAAGGAACTCTTCTGAGTAAAATGTCAATAGATTTACTGGTGGGTTTCCGAGACGTGTACCTTTTCATTCCCAAAAAGCCTTTCACAGTCATCCACATATGAAGACTTGTGTTTCAGTCTTTGTTTTGGCATCAACAGTCCGAAGTACCACAGTTCTCATTAAAGCTCATCAATGATTTGGAAGCTTTGCTTTTCTTTGTTTCCCGTTAGAGTCAGGAAACAAAAGATGATGGGGAATTGCTGAGATTTGTCAGGAGACTTTGTTCTTTTGCAAGATAATGCAGACGCATTTGTTTAAATGTTCATGAAAATTTCCTGGCAGGTATTCCCAAATGCTAATTGAAACTTCATGTGCCCCAAAAGTGATTTTCAGGAAAAAGGGACATTTACAATCTGTTAAAATGTTGTTGTGAGAAAATTAGCAGAATTTTAAAGAAATTTGCCAAAGAGGAAAATGACATTAGCTTCAATGTTTTGAATAAACAACATTGCTGTATGTGTGTGTAGCCAAAGTAGAGCTTTCACCCTGTATCTGGAGTTTTTCCAAGTACCTGACAGTCTGCAATTGCTTAAAACCCTCAACTAATTAAAAGAGAGAGAGAGAGAAGCTAGGCTATAATATATTTCTTCTATAGCTCTTCAAGCAATGATTTTCTTCTACCTGAGTGAAAAACTCATTGTCAAAGGTGGCTTTAAGGAAGGGAATATTACAATGAAGCTGTCGTATTAGTTGGTTGCCAAGCACCCTTGTCCGAAAGAGGAAAGTAAAGCCCAAAGTATACAAGATCCCAAATCTCCTGAAGGAGCATTCCACAACATTGTACTTCACCTTATTACCACAAAACAGCTAATAAAATCCTGTGCTTTATTAAGGCTGGCTGTAAAAAGACTGTTCCACTGTTCAAACAGTTGAGAGCCAGACTTTGCTGGTCTTTGATGAGCAGCAAGTTAAACAGCTGCCCAGGTCAGATTCTTTTCTGCTCAGGCATGGAAAAGTGATGATTTAGTGGCAGTGCAAAGATGCAGCTCACTTCCAGACAACAGAATTAAAAAGTACAATTTAATCCTGCAAATTAAAATCTTTAACATCTTAGTTACTTGGATGGCTCTGGCTCTTACGAAAAGTGATGAGGAACATTTCCTGGTTCCTTCATGCAAAAGCTTTAGCTTTTGCTAAACCATCCTGAAGCTGGTTCTCTCCAAAATGCATGTTCTTGCTCTGGAGATGCAATATTTAGACCAGGATTTTTTGGGGGAAGTGATGTCCTTTTAGCTTTTTCATGTATCCCTCAGGTGGCTGTGCCTGGGAATGTGGAAGCGGCTCTCAGTGCTGGCTGACGAGCAGGGAGAAGCACCTGGAAAGGGGTGCTGTGCCTCCTTCCGGACCTCTGCTGCCAGCCGGCTGCCTGGGGCTGACCTGAGGGCAGCAGAGGCCCTGCCTGGCGGAGGTGGGACCTGCGAGGCCACCCTGCCTGTCTGCTAATGCCTGCAGGTAACTGGGTCAGGCACAATGCTGCAGGGTGTCCAGGCAGATGGGAGAGACGCAGGTGGCTGTGTGGCGTGGAGAATGGTGGTAATTGCCTGCTTGCAGTAAAGCTGAGCGTTTTTCAAGGCTCCTCGTCTCAGCACCACCAGCACTGTCTGCAGGTGAGTCCGGTTAATCCTCTGCTTTTACCTGTTACTTGGCTCCATGGAAGGCTGTGCCTTTGGTAGAGCATTGCCTTTGGTTGCAGGGATCAGTAATGCTTTGGGTGCTGAACGTCTGTTCCTTATTTTGGACGTGTGCCATACTTTTGTGACTTGCTTTCCTTCTTGAGAACGAACCCATCTTCCTCTTTACAAGCGAGGAGCAGGAGGAGGAAAAGGGGGTCCCACAAGAAGGCAGAAGGTAGAAGCAGCCATGTCTCCTGTCTGTGCAGCAGGAGCCACTTTCAATTCCACCATAAGAGGCCCCTGAGGACCAGGCTGTCCCATCTCAGTGACAGCAGATGCAGTCTGACAGGTCTGGGGAAAAGAAATCCCCCAAACCTGACCAACTGCCGCAACTGGTCCAACAGCATCATCTGACAGTGGGTGGCTCAGGTCAGCAACCTCTCCTGGCCGGGAGCTACAGGGTCCAATAGGATCAAATAAGCTCCTTGAGCATCCCGGCTTTCTCTAGAGCAGCATGAGCACAGATTACTGAACTGCTGACGTGCCCGGGAAT